ATAAGTATATATGTAGTTTTGTTAGGTCTTTTCATGTTTCCCTCCAGAAGGAATGTACACATTTTTTATTCCCACCAGTAAAGTAGGAGAGTGCCTGTTTTCCCACAGACTCACTAACAGACAGTGTTGTCTTAATTTGCATTTCTCTAAATATAAGTGAGTTTGAACATTTTTTTCATATTTGTGGATTGTCTATTCATTCCCCCCCCCCCTCGTTTTTTGTTTTTTTATTGGATTTAGGTCCTTTTTCTCTCAATTTTTAAGAATTTTTAATACCTTAAGAGTATTAACCCTTTGCAAATATTTTCTTCTAGTTTTTCAGTTTTTTTTTTACTTTGTTCATAGATTTTTTCTTTTAACAACTTTTATTTTTATCAAGATATAATTTATATATCATTCAATTTACCTGTTTAAAGTGTACAGTTTAGTTATTTTTAGTGTATTCACAAAGTTGTGCAGCCACCACCACAATCAATTCTACAACATTTTTATCTCCCAAAAAGAAACTTCATACCCATTCACAGTCACTCTCTGCTTTCCCCAGTGCCCCTCTCACCTCCAGCCCTATTCTGCTTTCTGTTTTTATAGATGTTCATTTCATATAAATGGAATCATACAATATGTGGTCTTTTCTTTCACTTAGCATAAGGTTTTCAAGGTTCTTCTCTGTTGTACCATGTAATATTAGTACTTCATTCCTTTTTATTGCCAAACACTATTCCCTTGTATGGTATGCTGTGTTTTATTTATTCATTTACCAGTTGATAGACATTTGGTTTGTTTCTACTTTTAGTTATTATGAAAAATGCTGCTATGAACATTCGTGTATAAGTTTTTGTGTGGACATATATTCTCATTTTGTTATGCAGAACTTTTCATTTTAGTATCAATTTTAATCAGTCTTTTATTACCTGTGGATTTTGAGCTTTCTCCTACATCGTGGTTAAAGACAAATTTACCATGCTTTTTCTAGCATTTCATGGTTTCATTTTTTTAAAAAATTACATTCCTAATTCATTTGGAGTCTAATTTTATCTTTCTTCAAATGGTTACTTAAGTTGTCCTGGCACCACTTCTTAAAAAGTCCATCTCTAGCCTGGCCAGTGTAGCCCAAGGGTTGAGAATGGACCTATGCACCAGAAGGTCCCTGGTTCAATTCCTGGTCAGGGCATATGCCTAGGTTGCAGGCTCCATCCCTGGTGGGGGGCATGCAGGAGGCAGCCAATCGATGTTTCTATCACTCTCTCCCTCTCCCTTCCTCTCTGTGAAATCAATAAAAACATATTTAAAAAAAAAATTCATCATTACCCGAGTGATATGTCCCCTTTGTCATATACTAAATTTCTATAAATATTTTGGTCTAATGCTGGACTTTCTATTTTATTCCATTAGTCTGTTTGTCTATTTATGTGCCAGTATTGTACTTTTTTAAATATAGAAATTTTATGGTGTATTTTAGTGTCTGATAGGGCTAGTCAACACTTCATAATTTTTCCTTATCATTGTTTTCCTGGCTATTCTTGCATATTTGTTTTTCCATATGAACTTTAACATCGTCTTGTATAATTCCATAAAATAGTTAGTTGCTTTTTTATTGGGATTGCATTATTGTATTGAATTTATAAATTAATTTAAGGAGAACTGTGACATATTTATAATGTTGAATCATCCTAAATTAGAACGGGAGATAAATATCTGTCCATTGGTTCAAGTTGACTCTAGTGACTTTCAGGATTGCTTTAAAATTTTCCTTGAATAGGTTTTGCACATTTCCTGTTGAATTTAAGTTTTCTTTTCCTTGGTGTTATTATAAATGTGGTTTTCTCTACCATTGTGTCCTCTAATTGTTGATTATTTGTGCATTTGAAGGCTATTTGTGTTAATTTTTAACTGAAGTTTTAAAATTTTTATTGTAAGTAGTTGTTGCATATATCTAGATACTAATATGATTTCTTCAAGCTTAATAGATTTTCTTATGTTGAAATAACCTTGAATTTTTGGAATAAACTCAACCTAGGTATAACACAACTTTATCATGATCTTTTTCATGTGTTGCTGAATTATATTAGATAATATATTTCATTTAGCATTTTTGCTTTTGTGTTGGGTAAGTGATTTTAGTATCAAGCTTATATTATTTGCTGTGAATGAGTTAATTTAAGATTACAATCAGCTGTATCTTATATGTTGGTGGAACTTTCCTGTAAAACCGGCTGGGCCTGCTTTTTTCTTTATGGGAAAGTTTTTTATTACTAATTCTATTTCTTAAATGGACCATTCCAAATTTTGTTTCTTCTTGAATTACTTTTTCTCCCTAATTTTTTATTTGATGCTTTCAGAAAAGTTGCAAGACTAGAATAATAAATATTTTTAATATAAACTCCCCAGTTATCATTTTGCCACATTTTCTGTATCTTAATGTAGATAGCCCAGTTTCTTTCTTTTTCCTACTATTCCTGAGTCATTATCAGGGAAGACAATAAGGCATATTGACCCTACCCAGCAGGTAACTCTTAAGAACTGGAGCATTCTGTGATCCCGCTCCTAGGAATATACCCTAAGAAGCCTGAAACACCAATCAGAAAGAATATATGTACCCCCATGTTCATAGCAGCACTGTTTACAATAGCTAAGATCTGGAAACAGCCCAAGTGTCCATCAGTAGACGAATGGATAAAAAAGCAGTGATACATATATACAATGAAGTACTATGCAGTGGTAAGAAAGATCTCTTATCTTTTGAGATGACATGGAGGGACCTGGAAAGTATTATCCTAAGTGAAATAAGCAAAGCAGAAAAAGACAAATACCACATGATCTCACTTATATATGGAATATAATGAACATAACAGTCTGAGGAATACGGTAGACCCAGAAACATGGAAGTAGGGCACAGACTGACATCCCTCAGAAGAGGGGGTGAGGGGGTGGGAGGAGCTAAACCACAGAACTTATATGCATGTATGCATGACCAATGGACATGGACAACAAAGCCGGGGACGGGGCGGGGGTGGGGTGGGGAGGGGGGTGCCAATGGGGTAAAAAAGGAGAAACATCTGTAACAAAAAAATAAATAAAAAATTTAAAAAAACGAACTGGAGCATTCTTCCACATAACCACAATACTCTTAGCACACCCAAAGAAGCTGAACTTTCATAGATTCACATTATGTAATATATACACTCCAAATTCAAATCCTCAAATATGTACATGGCCTTTAGAGCACTTTTGGGAAGAGCTGGGTTCAGGATCCAATCAAGAATCATTTATTACATTTCATTGTCATCTTCTTTGATCTCTACCTTTTATTTACTTATTTTGTATGACACTGGCATTTTAATTGAAACATTTAAATTATGTTTTTCATAGAATGTATCCATTTTGTCTCAGTTTTTAAACACATTGCATAACTTTTAAGTTTTTATTTCTTAACACTTGTATCTTTTATGTCCCTAATATTGTTTACTAGATCTCTTTTTTCTTAATCAATCTTATCAGAGTTTCATCAGTGTTATTAGTCATTTCTAAGAGCTGACTTTAGACTTTGTTACTTTTTTTTTTTACTCCTCACCGGAAGATAGTTTTTCCATTTATCTTCAGATAGAGTGGGAGGGAGGGAGGGATAGAGAGAGAAACATCGACAGGAGAGAGACACATCAACTGGTTGCCTCCCGCATGACTCCAACCAGTACCAGGGACAAACCACAACCCAAGTACATGCTCTTCGCCAGAATTGAACCCACGACTCTGGTCCATGAGCCAAACCAGCCTGGGCTTTTGTTACTTTCTTATATTGTAACTCTGTTTTCTATTTTATCAAATTCTACTTTTACCTTTATTATTTACTTTTTTGTTGTTGTTGTTATTCTGTTTCTAATGTCTTAAAATAGATGTTTAGCTTATTTTCAGCCTTCTATTCAAGTATAGGTTTATAAGTTTGTATTTTTCCCTCAGAATACTCTTTTATCTACATTACACAAATAGCGATATGAGGTATTTTCATAATTTCTCACATCAAATTTTTCTATTATCATTTACTTGACCACTGAGTTATTTGGAAAGGGTTTAAAATTTTTCTAAGGTATTTTTAGGTTATCTTTTTATTAATGATTTTGATTAATTGCATTATGGTCACAGAATTGTGTCTATATGATACAGACTTCTTAAAATTTTTTGATATTGCTTTATGGCCTGACTTAGGTATATGGTAAATTTGTATAAATGCCCCCAAATGCTTAAAATATATGTGAATCTTCTAATTATTAGGTATACTATTCTATGTAAGTATTGTTTTATAAGAGCTCATGGGATCAAATTTATTATATATGCTATTCATTGTACTACTTGGTTACTGATTTTTGTCTGTCTGATCTATTCAGTTATCCACTGATGATCGATTTATCTCTTTTTCCTTTGTAGCTTTGTCCATGTCTGTTTTATATATTTTGAGACTGTGTTATTAGCTGCATACACAAAACTGTTATATCTTTCTGAAAACTTGAACCATCATCATTATGGAACATCTTTATCTCTGTAATACTTTTTACATTAAAGTTTATTTCATCTGGTAACACTATAACAAACTAGTTTTTTTGTTTTTTAGTTAGTGTTTACCTAGCTTATCTTTTCAATCCTTTGATTTTCAACTTAAAAAAATTTATTTTTTCGTTATTGATTTTTTTTTTTTTTTTTTTTTGAGAGAGAGAGGAAGGGAGAGGGAGAAAGAGAGAAACATAAATGAAAGAAAACATCAGTCAGCCACCTCCTGCATGCTCCCCCACTGGGGATTTGGCCCACAACCTGAACATGTTCCCTGACCAAGAATCAAATCAGTGACCTCTTGGTGCATGGGTTGACATTCAACTACTGAGCCACACCAGCTGGGCTGATTTTCAGCTTTTTAATTTCCTGTGTTTTATAGGACAGATCTTGAAGTTTAAGCTGATAACTGCTTTCTATTCTTGACCTCCCTAAATGTACCATTTTGCCTTCTCTCCTAGCGGCAGTACATACCTGTGAAAGTGAAGAGCAAAGCCTTCTGGATCTTCTCTTGGGAGTATGCCATGATGTACATGGGAAGCCTAGTGGTAATCATTTGCCTCTCCTTCTTCCTTCTCAGCTCCTGGGATTTCATCCCTGCAGTCTACGGCTTCATGTAAGTAATTATCTCATTAGAAAATTCTGGAAGCTAATTTGGTTTTCACAGCTGCAGCTGGAATCAGAGTGCAAGTGACCACAGGGAGCATGTAGACAGCTTGGCTTTCTTTTTTCTTTTTCTTTTTTTAATGTTTTTATTGATTTTTTAGAGGGAGAGGAAAGGAGAGAGAGAGATAGAAACATTGATGAGCTGCCTCCTACATGCCCCTTACTGGGAATCGAGCCTGCAGCCCTGACCAGGAATCAAACAGGGGACCTCTCAGTGCATGGGATGAGGCTCAGTACACTGAGCCACACCTGCCAGGCCAGAGTGGGTTTTAAACTTCAGTGTGCATCAGAATTACCTTCAGGACTTGTTAACACCCACATTGCTGGGCCCCACCTCTAGATGTTTAAGTAAGTCTAAGGTAGGGACCAAGAATTTGCATTTCTAACAAGTTTTCAAGTGATGCTGATCTGCTGATCCAGAGAACATACTTTGAGAACCACCAGTCTACAGCATATTATTTGATGTTGTGAGATTAAAGAGCACTCTTTAGGAACATCCAAAGTGACTTCCAGCCTCTGCCTGGAAGGTTTTGATTCAATCCCAAAGAGGAATGGATGTATTCCTCTACTGCAAGAGGATCTCTTTAAAATAAAGCCACCTCCCATGTGTCAGACTTTTTAGATACAATCAAAATGGGTTTGCAGTAAGAATTCTACAGACATTTCTAAACATTCTCTGTATGATATTCTGAAGCACCACCCAAACTTCGAAGAGCTCACAGCCCAGTGGAGTGATAGCCACTTAAACCAGCATGGGTAAGGGATTTGGAGTGGCAGGCTCCCCTATGGGATTCTGAACTGCTAATTTGTGTTAAATCCTGGCTGAGTATAACAATGATTTAGTAATTTTTCAGTTCCTCATGCTCTGCCTTGAATAGGAATTTGTAACACCTTGGATCGGAGTGAAAAGCTTTTCCTGGTTTCCTGCTGGACCACAGATTGTGTTCTTTTCCTCATTTCACAGACAAGAAAGTGTAGTTATAGCAGAAGGCAAAGACTTGTCCTGGGTGGAAGCCTGTGTTAGTGAAATCTGACCATGAGCCATTGCCTATTTGTCTCTCTCCATGCTCCATTTGTTCCCCTTTTGAAATTACGAATTGACATCAGTTTCAACTCTATTTCTTGTTTTTTTTTATCCTCACCCGAGGACATTTTTCCATTTTTTGTTCAGGTAGAGTGGGAAGGAGAGAGAGGAACAGAGAGAGAGAGAGAAACATCGATGTGAAAGGGACACATCAAGTGGCTGCCACCCGCACAACTGACCAGGGCCGGGGACAAACTGCAACCGAGGTACGCGCCCTTAGCGGGAACCAAACCCGGGTCTCTCAGGACTGCAGGCCGACGCTCTAAACGCTGAGCTAAACCGGCCAGGGCTATTTTTTTTTCTTTATTGACTTTAGAGAGAAAGGGAGGGAGAGGGAGAGAGAGATAGAAACATCAATGAGAGAGAACATTGGTCGGCAGCCTCCTGCATGCCCCCCACTGGGAATCGGGCCCACAACCTGGGCATGTATCCTGACTGAGAATTGAACTGGCAACCTCTTGGAGCATGGGTCAATGCTCAACCACTGAGCACTGAGCCATACCAGCCAGGGTCGGACTCTATTTTTTTTTTTTCTTCTTTTTTTTGGCTCAGATGGAGTAGGAGGGACAGAGAGAGGGGAAGAGAGAGAGAGAAACATCAATGTGAAAGGGACACATCAAGTGGCTGCCACCCACACAACCCAACCAGGGCCAGGGACAAACTGCAACCTGGTACATGCCCTTAGCGGGAACCAAACCCAGGTCTCTCTGAACTGCAGGCCCACGCTCTAACCACTGAGCAAAACCAGCCAGGGTCGGACTCTATTTTTTAATTTATTTTTTTCAAATAAAAAATAGAATGTAAATTTTTTTGTATATTTTGTAATGTTTTAGTACTTCTTGTTGTTTTTGTTAATCCTACTGGATAATATTTTTTCATTGATATTTTTAGAGAGAGTGGAAAGGAGGAAGAGAGGAAGGAAGAGAAAAAGAGAGAAACATCAATGTGAGGGAGACACATCAAATGGTTGCTTCCCGCATGACCCCAACTGGGGCCGGGGATCCAACTTGCAATCCGGGTACATGCCCTTGACAGAATCAAACCTGTGACCCTTCAGTCCGAAGGCCAGTGTTCTTACCCCTGAGCCAGACCAGCCAGGGCTATAATGTAAATTTTTAGAAGAGTCAGAATTACAGCCAAGTTTTATCTAATATAACTCGACAAAAGGTTTTCCAGTTAAACTCTTACTTCTTTTTTTTTTTTTTTTAATGTTTTTATTGATTTTTTAGAGAGGAAGGTAGAGAGAGATAGAAACATAGATGTGAGAAATACTGATCGGCTGCCTCCTGCACGCTTCTTACTGGGGATCTAGCCCGTAACCTGGGCATTGCCCTGACCGGGAATCGAACCAGCACCTCTCAGTTCATGGGATGATGCTCAGTCCACTGAGCCACGCTGCTGTGGCAGGTACTCATTCCATGGCTTCTGGTGTGGGGATGGTGAGCAAGAATGGGAAGAAGCAGAATCTTTGAGCTTGTTTCTCTAGGCAAGTCTTTGGAATGCCCCAAATAGATATTGTTTTTGTAAAATCCATTCCTCTTTTGTTACATTACTGAATATCTCCTAAGTTTATTTATTTATTTTTGTAAAAATTTTTATTATTATTGATATTAGAGAGAGAGGAAGGGAGGAGAGAGAGTTAGAAACATCGATGAGATCAACAAATCATCAAACAACAAGTGTTAGCGAGGGTGTGGAGAAAAGAGGACTCTAGTACACAGCTGGTGGGAATGCAGACTGGTACAGCCTCTATGGAAAACAATATGGTGTTACCTCAAAAAATTAAAAATTGAATTGCCATTTGACCCAGTGATCCCACTTCTAGGAATATACCCTAAGAAGCCTGAAACACCAATCATAAAGAATAAATGTACTCCCGTGTTCATAGCTGCACTATTTACAATAGCTAAGATCTGGAAACAGCCCAAATGTCCATAAGTAGACAAATGGATAAAAAAGCAGTGGTACATATACACAGTGGAGTACTATGCAGCTGTAAGAAAGAAAGATCTCTTATCCTTTGAGACTACGTGGAGGGACCTGGAAAGTATTATCCTAAGCGAAACAAGCCAAACAAAGACAAATATCATATGATCTCACTTATTTGTGGAATATAATGAACATAACAGTCTGAAGAACAGGGTAGTCCCAGAGACGTGGAAGTAGGGCACAGACTGACAATCCCCAGTAGAGGGGGTGGGGGGATGAGATAAACCACAGAACTTATATGCATGTATGCATGACCAATGGACATAGACAACAAAGCTGGGGACAGGGCAAGGAGGGAAGGGGAGGAGGGTGTCAATGGGAGGAAAAGGAAAAACATCTGTAACAAAAATTAATTAACTAATTTTAAAAAAAGAAACATCGATGAGAGAGAACATCAACTGGCCTCCTCCTACATGCCCCCACTGGGGATCAAGCCCATAACCTGGGCATGTGCCCTGACGGGGAATTGAACCAGCAACGTCTTGGTGCATGGGTCGTAGCTCAACCACTGAGCCACGCCGGCCAGATGGTATCTTCTGAGTTTAAACCTATATGTCTTGGAAGTAAAATAGGGGCTGGTCTTTTGATTTCTAGCATGAACCCCTGCCTCATTTCAGATCTTTGATGTATGCCAGAATTTGGCTCAGCTAATATTTATTATAGGTTGTCATTTTCTGCCCCTTGTTTTTGTTTAATTACCTATATCCAGGGTGCCTAGGGAGTCCCCCACATCCTGACTCTGTGGAGACAGAGTCATCCTTGGCAGCCCAGTAATGATCAAAGTCTTCAGGAGAAAACCAGGTTAAAGCATACCATTTATAACTTTGCTCTCTTTATTCTCTCCCTTTGCTTTCTTCACTCCAGACTTTCTGTTCCAGATCTCACTCCAAACATTGGTCTTTTTTGGTACTTCTTTGCGGAGATGTTTGAACACTTCAGCCTCTTCTTTGTATGTGTGTTTCAGATCAACGTCTTCTTCTACACCATCCCCTTAGCCATAAAGCTGAAGTAAGTAGTTGGACCTGCTGCTTCTGTGCTCACAGAACATTTGTAGCCTTGCAGATGCCCTTCAGACTGGGAGTATCTCTGTTAGGTTTATGCCATCTTTGCCCAGGGAACTCTGCCCTTAATCATCCTGGGTTGCCAGTGGCCATAGCCAGCAATAGTCATACATGAGTGCAGGCTTCAGGGAGCACCCTGATATTTTTCCTGGCCTCACTACTCAGGGGTACTCAAGCCCATACTGCTGCTGAGCCCACTCACTGTTTTAGATAAGAGCAGAGGTTGGAGTTGGGGGTTGTCTTTGGAAAAAATGAATCTTGAGTGTCCTGTATCAGCAACCCAGTGACAGTTTGCCCTAGGGGACTCAGGGTGTGTTCGTTAGTTGGTAGGCTGGCCTCCTGAAGCTCTGTTTAATCTTCTGATCAATTTCCCTCTAAAGGTTTATCTGTGGAGCTCTCTTCTGCAGTATGAGAGAGCTAACATATGCTGAGCCCTGCTCCATCCAGGCACCTATTTTAGACTTTCTGAAATGTATCCATAAGCTAACCCTTCCAGTAGCTTTTGGACATAGGAAGTATTATCATCATTCCCATGTTATAGTTGAGGAAACTGACATTCAGAGAAATGGAATGATTTTCTCAGAGTCACACAGCTAGCAAGCAGTGGAGCTGGGATTCATACTCAGGTTGTCTGGCTCTAGAATCTATGCTCAGCCCACTGATCTGAGAGAGATCACTTGTAGTAGCCCCTGAAAATGGTTCTGTTATCCTAGCTTCAAAGAAGGGAAAACAAGAACAGATGTGCCTGGATGGTCCAGGGAAGCTAGGAGGCAGTTTGATTTAGATTTCAAGAGCTTGAGGTCTCTGCTCTAATCTTTCTGCCATTCTTCATGGCCAGTGAACCAATGCACATGGTTCCCATTCTGTAAAAGCTCAGAGCTGATGCTTCCTTCTCATGACAGCCTTGGCCTGCCATCTGACAGGAAACCATCCTTCCTTAGCCTGGCAGGCCCCAGAACTCTGGCAGCCCTGCCCAGGCAAGCTCTCCAGCTGTCTGTGGTCCACATTCCCTGCCCTTGTTCTTGTCAGGCCGGCCTCTGGGCTGAGACAAGCAGTGAGCCCGAAGCACGTGTCCTCACTCTGTACAGCTAGCTCTCCAGGAGCTTTCACTGTCTGCTTACTAATTTACCTCTCTGAGCCCGCTTTCCCCATCTGCAGTGTGGGTGATAGCATTGCCTACCTCGAGGGGCAGTTGAGGTGCAGTGGGGATCATATGCAGTGTTGCAAGAGAAGGGCCTAGCATGGAACATAGTAGAGCGAGGGTTCAGGGAATGGTGACCATTGTGTTATTAGTTTAAGGTAACAAGAGCTCCAATTCCAGCCAGCCCTCAGGAGCTGAAAAGCTGCACAGTTCTCAGTTCTCTTTTTGGAAGAGCTCATCATAGCTAAGAGTCTGAGACCCCACTGACCCGATTGTCAGAGAAAAAAACATCAGCACGAAAGCGCTTCTGTCCTGGGTCCAGTTGTCAGAGGGGCCTCTGGCAAGGGAGGCTGCCTAATTACATTCTGACAAGCAGTCTTTTAAGCCCAGTAATAATGAACCGCTGACTTCATTTGTTTTTTTCCCTTGATGGCTCCTGCGGGAAGGCCCGGAGCTGGTTGTGGGGAGGTTGATGGGAAATGTCTCTGTGGGCTGTTTTTCTAGTATTTGCTGGGCGCTCCTCACCACCCCTGGGCATCTCTGGGCCCCCACAGTTTTCAGCTCTGCTACTTGGCCTGGCCCCTGTGTCTTGTGGGTAGCAGAGCCAGCCCTTGCCTAAAGTTCCCTGGAGAGTATTTTTGGGTATGAGGGATAGAGTCAGGAGTCTCAGGGGTGGGCCTGATTCCTGACTGATCTCTGTCTGTCTGTCTGTCCTGCCCTGCCCCAGGGAGCACCCTATCTTCTTCATGTTCATCCAGATTGCCATCATCTCCATCTTCAAGTCCTACCCAACAGTGGGGGATGTGGCCCTCTACATGGCCTTCTTCCCCGTGTGGAACCATCTCTACAGATGTGAGTATATTCCCTCTAATCCCCTGGTGGCAGATATGTGTCAGCCTGGCCCCTGGATGAAACAGCCAGGGAAAAAGGAATTGATAGCAGCACCAGGAGAGAGGCAGTGACATGAGGCACAGTAACTGCCTCCTAGGTGCTATGTACTGGTGATGAAAATAAAATAACTACCATTTATTGAATACTTACTATGTACCTGGCCACTGTGGTTCTAAGGGTATTACATGCATGAGCCCATTTTATTTTCACACCAGCCTTTGAGGAAAGTATCCCCATTTTGCAGACAAAAAAACTGAGTTACAGAAAAATAGAGCCACTTGTTCAAGGTCACATATCTGGTTAGTGGAAGGGCTGGCATTGGAATCCAGACCTGTGAGCCTCTAGCCATTGCTGTCAGTAGGACGTTCTGTGATGATGAAGATGTCCTATATCTGCACAGTCCAGTAGAATAACCACAGGTGTGACTAAGAAGCTGAATTTTAAAATTCAGATTAATTTAAATTTAAAAAGCCACACATAGCGAAGTCTAGCATATTGGCTAGACCTAGGGCTTTGAACCGTTTCTCAGAGCTTCACCCAAAGTTCCCTAGAAGACAGATGAGCAATATGAGATTTCCTGCCTCCGTGAGGGTTCTTTGTGTTTTTTTTTTAATCCTCACCTGAGGACATTTTTCTATTTTTTGTTCAGATAGAGTAGGGGGGAGAAAGAGAGAAACATCGACGTGAAAGGGACACATCAAGTGGCACCCACCCACACAACCCAACCAGGGCCGGGGACAAACTGCAACCAAGGTATGTGCCCTTAGCAGGAACCGAACCCGGGTCTCTCTGGACCACAGGTCGATGCTCTAACCGCTGAGCCAAACCAGCCAGGGCTTGTGTGGGTTCTTTTCAGTGTTTGTGGTCTCCACAGGCTCATGACTCATTCCCCTCTGTGTCCCCAGCACCCAGGATCAAACCTGGCACACAGAACAACTCAGCAGATGCTTGTGGATGGGTTTTTAAACCTCTCTCATAAAGAGGCCATGTCAATGGCCCAACACCACTTGGTTCTCTAAACCAGAATGGAAAGGGAGCTGTTGAACTTCCTTGCCTGCAGTAGGTGTATAACAGGGTGTCAAGAATGAATTCAGGAGGGCAGTCTTCAGAGGAAGTGAGTCTTTGTTTTTGTTTTGGGGCTGTCTGGGTGTCAACCAGGAAGTGAAACTGACCAGCTACTAGAAAGAAACTTACCTGTAAGAGTGGACCCTGAGCAAGGTAAACAGCTGAGTGGGTAGGCCAGGCAGACCTGCTCTTGCAGGTGATAGCCTGGTGGGGCAATGACCAGCCCTGCCTGACTGGGAGCAGGGAGTGGCATCTTCTGCCTGTAACATCCTCATTGCACTGATGAGAATCACCCAGTCCGGCGGGCTCAGGCTCAGCTTGGGGCCCCTTGGCAGAGAAAAACTAATGACAAATCACGAGGCCACTCAACAAGTGAACATACCCCAGTTTGTGACAGGGTGGGTCTCTTGGGGAAGTCAGTACTCTTTCCCTGAAAGTAGAGTAGTTTTTTTCTTAGCTAGCTATCCCACACAGAGTATCTCTCTCCCTCAGGTAATATCTTTCATCCCATATAGCAATAAACACAGTCTGGAGGCAGACTGACTTAAGTCTGAATCCTGGCTTTCTCATTACTAGCTACGTGTTTTTAGGCAAATCATTTAACCCTTCTGAGCCTCCCACTTTTTCATCTGTCAATTGGGGAGAGTATCTTTCATGTGTGTTTTAAGTTTGAGAAAGTATAAATAGCACTGTAGCTATTATCAGAAGTAACAAATATGTGGGGTGTGGGGTCTCTTGTATAATTCCATGATCAGAGCTTCAAGCTTCGTGGCCAGAGTCATTCAGAGTCATTGGGATAAACATATTTTCAAAACTTGAAATAAGCTATTTTATGCCCTCTGGGGTAATGAGGCACAAAAAATAAGGATGGAGTGTTTCCGGAAACCTGGATGATCTAATAGATGCTGTTGCTGGCTGGCTGGGTAATTTCAGCTTGTCTGAAGGCCCTGCAGGAGCATTGGCTGCCAGCCCCAGTGCCAAGCACCTGCAGCAGAGAGGACTCATACGCTTGGAGTATCTCTTTGGGGCATGACAACTGTGAGTAATGACATCCATCGAGGAGTGTCTTCAGCCTGGTCCTGCGAACCCATGAGCAGAGGCTTTGAGAAGTCTTTAAGCCTATGTTGAATATAGTCAGACTTTTAATGTGGTCAAGAATTCAGTTTAAATATTAGTTACCAGTGCTAACATGCCTGCTCATACATTCACCTTTTTGTTTTTGTGTCCTGCTCAGTGGGGAGAAGAGGTACATGGGCCCTTCCCTGAGTGTAGGCTCCAGACCTCAGGACTCTGTGGTGCCTGGCGCCAGGATGAGTCATCCAGACACACACTTGTGGTATTAGGGAACAGCCTCCTGGCAGAGCCAGTGCCTGCCTGCAGTGGTCCAGCCGAAAGAGCCAGTTACCAAAGGGCTGGATTGTGTGTGTTTTATTTTGTTTTTATTAACTATTACATAAAGATAAAAGAATATTGATAAAATATATATAAATTATAAAGAATAATATAATAGGTTTCCATATATCTAGCACCTAGTTTAAGAAAGAGAATGACACCATGACCTTTTTCATCCCTAAATTCACTCTGTGCCCCTCCTAGTGGGACTGGATTCTTCAAGTGGAATTTGATTCCTGAATGCCTGAGGCTTAGAGAGAGAAAGTGACTTGCCTAAAGTTTTAGTTTGTCAATAATGGAGCCAGAGATTGGATAAGCCACCCAGTGAATGTAGTGGGGAATCTGATTCCATCTGGCCTAGCAAGTCTGATGAAGGGTGAACCCTTTCATCTCATTAGGCCCTGGTCATCTCTGACATCTCTGACACCTCCTGGTGCCTGGAACAAGCTGTCCTGTGCCCCGGGTCCCTAGCTCCATCTGCTCTGGCATATAGCTTTAATCTTCTGGCCTGTCAGCCAGCAGGAGTGAGGAGCAGCTCCCCAGTATTGCAAAGGTCACCACAGGCCAGAAGCCAGCTGGATGCTTGTGACATTTCCTCCAGGCACATGGGAATGTATCCTTGCAGCTCTTCGTGATTACACCCAGGAGCTGCATGTGAGCCTCTCTCAGTCTCTGTGCATTTGGTCACCTTCTTGTCACCTGACCCAGAGTGGCTAGAGGCATGGACTAAAGACCTGCCCTGGGCTGCCAGGCCACAGGAGTTTTCTTTTAGGAATAGTGTACATTCTTCTCAGCAAAATAATTTTCAGAGGATCAGAAAAAACACTGAGAATGTAAATAGTGATATCAAAGTGGAGGAATGGTAAATAGAAATCTTATTTCTGGAGATTGTAACATTGCTTAATAATAACAAAAATAATAATTCTCAGTGCACACGTCTCTTTTCCCAGACTTCCTGTTTCTGGGAGAAAGGATGAGAGGTCTCGGGAAGGCTCGAGTCAAGACTTGAACCTCTCAGCTTTGAAAGCCCAGAACTGTGGAAATTTCAGATCAGAAAAGAGGACCTTGGAAGCCCTCCAGGCCATTGTTTCTGAATTATGGGATTTCACAGACCACTAAAATTTTGGAAAACGCTGATGACAGAGTTGCCAATTTTTTATTTTGCTGAAGACATTAAAACAACCAACTACCAGCCATTCATCTCCATTTCATAAAAGAGAGGACTTATTAGCAAAAGCAACAACCAACAACAAAAAACACTTGTCATTTCTTTTTTTTTGTATCCTCACCTGAGGACATTTTTTGATATTTTGTTCAGATAGAGTGGGAGGGAGAGAGAGAGAGAGAAACATCGATATGAAAGGGACATATCGAGTGGTTGCCACCCGCACAACCTAACCAGGGTCGGGGACAAACTGCAACCAAGGTACGTGCCCTTAGCAGGAACCGAACCCGGTCTCTCCAGACCGCAGGCCAATGCTCTAACTGCTGAGCCAAACCGGCCAGGGCCACCTGTCATTTCTTAATAAGAATGAACCTTAAGCCCTGGCCGGTTTGGCTCAGCGGTTAGAGCGTCCGCCTGCGGTCCGGAGAGACCCGGGTTCGGTTCCCGCTAAGGGCACGTACCTCGGTTGCAGTTTGTCCCCGGCCCTGGTTGGTCGTGCGGGTGGCAGCCACTCGATGTGTCCCTTTCACATCGATGTTTCCCTCTCTCTCTCTTCCTCTCTCTCCCTCCTACTCTATCTGTACAAAAAATGGAAAAATGTCCTAGGATGAGGATTAAAAAAAAAAAAAAAAAAGAATGAACCTTAAATTGAAAGCATTTGGCTTTCACAAGAACTCTGAACTACCCATCCTGATCATTCTCCCTGTGACACAGTGGAATCTCTGTTGCAAACAACTGTGGGCCTCCTCCTTAGTAAGGTCTGCGGCTGTAACGCAGTGGTTCACAGCCTTGGCTGCATACTGGAAACACTGGAGAAGCTTTTAGAAACTAGCATGGATTCCTGGGCCCTACCACTAGAGACTCTAATTTACATAGTCTGGGTGGACTTCCCCAGATGATTTTACTTTGCAACCAAAATTGAGAACCATGTGTATAATCCAGTCTCATTTCAACCAAGTCTTTGTACAGCTCATATCAGCAGCCTTAAGGTTAGAGTTTCCCTATCTCTTTAGTCTTCCAAAAATCTGATTTAGGAGAAGGGATTTCTTGAAGGTCAAGATCAGATTGGGGAAGGGAACCTCTCTATTCATTAAATGCCCACTGTTACTCAGACCCAGTGCTGAGTTTTTTTGTTTGTTTGTTTGTTTGTTTTAAGGTATTCTTTTAATTAATTTATTTTAAATAATATTTATTAGTTTAGCCCTAGCTGGTTTGCTCAGTGGTTAGAGCATCAGCCTGCAGAGCAAAGAGTCCGGGTTCGATTCCGGTCAAGGACATGTACCTCGATTGTGGTTTGGTCCCCAGCCCTGGTCGGGGTCATGTGGGAGGCAACCAGTTGATGTGTCTCTCTCATCCATGTCTCTCTCTCCCTCTCTTCCCCTCTCTCTCTGCCTCTCCCTCTCTCCCTCCCTCCTACTCTGTCTGAAAATAAATGGAAAAGTAATATTATTAGTTTGCTTAAAAATACAATGAAGTATAAAGAAATAAAAATAGCATATAATCCTATTGTCAGATATCTCATGTTGAATTAAAAGGAAAAAAGCACAGTGTAGTAGGCAGAATAATGCTCCCTTGTCACCTCCCACAATGATATTCATGTCCTAATCCCCCAAACCTGTGATTATATCACCTTCCATGGCAAGAGGACCTTCAGATGGGAGAGTAGCCTGGAACGTCCAGGTGGACCCAATGTAATCACAAGGGCCCTTAAAAGAGGTGGGAGCAGGAGTTTGTGGGAAATCTCTGAACCTTTCTCTCGGTTTTGCTGCGAACCTATAGCTTCTTTAAAAACTAAAGTCCGTTGTTTAAAGAAGTGACAAAGGAGGCAGAAGAGGAATTCAGAGTGATGCAGTATGAGAAGGGCTTAATCTGACATTGCTAGTTGAAGATGGAAGAAGATCATGAACCAAGATCGCAGGCGGCTCTACCCCTGCACAGACAGGCGAACAGATTTCCCCTTAGGGTCTCCGGAGGGAATGTATCCCTGAAGGTACCTTGGTTTTTAGCCTGTGAGACCCATTTTAGACTTCTGACCTCCAGAACTGTTAGATAATATATTATACTGTTTAAGTCACTGAGTTTGTGGTAATTTGTTATAGCAGAAGTAGAAAACACAGTCATCTGTCTGTGCCAAGTTTTCCTGTTTAATCCATGTAACACTCCTGTGAAATTGGCATTTTAGTCCTGTTTTAGAGTTGGGAAGCTGAGACTCAGAGACTCTTGCAGGCAGAGCAGGAATTTTAACCAAAGTCCCTCGAAGTCCGAGTCTGTGCCCCACCATCTGGCTCAAGGACCACCCACTGGCTTTGGGCACAGGGAGCCATTGACTCAAGGGTATAGGTTGGCACCCCATTGGCACCCCAATGCCTCTGAGTAGGGGGGGGGGTTGTTCTGCTTTTGAGCTATACTAGGCTCTCCCTGGGCCTCTCTCTGTCCTGTGGGGGGCCATCACAGAGAATCAGCATTGGGCTAATTGTGACCATCTGTCTTTGCAGTCCTGCGGAACATCTTTGTCCTTGGCTGTATCATTATCGTCTGCTCCCTGCTTTTCCCTGTCCTGTGGCACCTCTGGATTTATGCAGGAAGTGCCAACTCCAATTTCTTCTATGCCATCACACTGACCTTCAACGTTGGGCAGGTAAGGGTTAAGGGCAGCCTGGGGACAGGGTTTCATTTTTGTATTCTCAGACATTTGACCTAGGCCCTGGGTTCTGCAAACTGGGGGTTTGGATATGAATGAGGGGACAGTTCCTCCCATCAAGTAGCTCATGTTCTGATAGAGAAGATAAGGACATAAAAGCAGCAGGGAAACCTGCATCTGTCTAACATTTATCGGGTTCCCTGCTGAGCTATTGTCTCAGTGAATTCTCACAGCAAGCCTGTGAGATAGTGTTACCCCTATTTTACAAGTGGGAACTGAGCCTCACAGAGGTTGCTTCTTGCCCAAGATCACTTGAGGAGCCAAGAGAAAATCCAGGGAAGGCTCTGTTTCTGAGGCCACCCTCTTTCTGTGGCAGTGCCTGGGCTGCGTGGCACCCAGAAGGAGTGCACCATTGAGGGTGGGCAGGGCAGGGCAGAGGAAGGAGAGGCTCTGGGGCAGCAGGAGCAAAGACAGGGAGATGAAAAATGTTTGGGTCTAGCTACTGGGTGAGTCTGGAGTGAGTAGTGGGAGAAAAGGCCACGGGGGTCACTAAGTGAGAAGCGCCAGCAAGGAGCCCCGGTGCTCCCCAATCCAGGGAAAGCCTCCCCCTTGGTGCTGCAGAGCAGTGGTATTCAGAATTAGAATCCCAGGGGAGCTTGTTCCCAATGCAGATTCCTTGTTAATACGTTTTAAATTGTGTAGTTATGTTACAACTGTTACCATTACATGGCTTTGATTGTAAAAAAATAAAATAAAATAAAAATGCAGATTTTCTAACCCCGCTTCCACAGATGTTGACTTAGTAGATGTGGAAAACAGGGTCAGAAAACAGGGTCAGACTTTTTACCAGCTCTCCCAGGGATTGTGTTGCAGGTGGGCTAACAAACTCCTCCAGAGGTCCCTGTCCACGTGCCCCGCTCTCTCAGGTCAGCTCTGCCCTCACGGTGGAGGTCCTGTGGGAGTTGGCTGCACCGTTTACCATTTCATTTGCCACTGGCACAGGCAGGCATTTCCTGTGCACAGTGGGCTAGAAGGAAGCAGGACCAGCTGGAGAGACTAGTGATGGCACTGAATAATCCCCAGGGAGAGTCTTGCTTCCAAGGTCAGCTTCTGGGAGAGAAGAAGAGAGCTAGGGCTTTTGCTGTGAGTGATGGGTCTGGTATTTCCTGCATGGACACTTCTGGACAATCAATGTCCAGCGCAGCTATTTATCTTGATTTGTGAATAGCAGGAAGAGTGATGGAGGGCCCTGTGGCCTGGGTGGGACCAGGCCTGTCACACAGCGGTTATTGATGGTGGATGCTCAGCACGTCCTACCTATGTCCTGCAAGATTCAACTTAGTACCTTGAAGGAATCCAGAAGGCTATCCTGGCTCTCTGCCTGGCTGAAGTCTCCTTACTTTTTCTTTGAAAGGGATGACTGGCATGTGTAGGCATGGCCTGCCCTGGGATGCAGGGCACTTGATGAGTGCCACTGAAATAGCCCCCAGCCTGTTGTCAGGCCATGAGTGTCATGTGGGTCAGGAGTGCAGCTGCGGTGATTATGAAGCAGCGATGGCACTTGCAGCTAACAGCTTTTCTGTGTAGCTGCCTTTGGCCCCTTTATGAAACAAGGGTCTCTGTAAATGGCATGGGACATCATGGCAAGTGGTCACATACCATTGAAGGCAAAAAACAACCCTGGCTGGTTTGGCTAAGCGGTTAGAGCGTCAGCCTGCAGTCCAGAGAGACCTGGGTTTGGTTCCCACTAAGGGCATGTACCTCAGTTGCAGTTTGTCCCTGGCCCTGGTTGAGTCGTGCGGGTGGCAGCCACTCGATGTGTCCCTTTCACGTCGATGTTTCTTTCTCTCTCTCTCTCTCTCTCTTTCTCTCTCTTTCTCTCTCTTTCTCTCTCTCTCTCTCTCTCTCTCTCTCTCTCTCTCTCTCTCTCTCCCCCTCTCTCCCTCCCTCCCTCCCTCTGAACAAAAAATAGAAAAATGTCCTCGGGTGAGGATAAAAAAAAAAAAAAAAACTGAGTGGATGCCTGGCTGGTGTGGCTCAGTGGTTGAGCGTCGACCCATACACCAAGAGGTCACTAGTTCGATTCCCGGTCAGGGCACATGCCCAGGTTGTGGGCCAAATCCCTAGTGGGGGGCATGCAGGAGGCAGCCAGTTGATGTTCTCTCTCATCGATGTTTCTATCTCTCTTTCCTTCTCTCTTCTTCTCTGTAAAAAAAAGTCAATAAAGAAAAACAAAACAAAACTGAATTGTTGGAAAAGGAGGAAAAGAGGATGGGGTTGGGTGGGAACCAAAGGTCAATGGAGTGTGTTAATGACTGAGCTATAGAGAAAAACCAGGCTGAACTTTTGGCATTGCCTTTTACCTTTTTAAAAAATTTTGTTTTTAAAATGTATTTTTAATCATACAAATAATATATTAATTTATTATTGCTGGGAAAAAGAAGTCAAAATAGAAGCATATGGAATGAAAAGTTAAGATCTGCCTGGGCCCCATCCCTTCCCAGCCAGTGCAGCTGTGATCACTGGGGTCAGTCTGTGAGTGTCTGCAGACCTCCTCTGTTCATTTATGACTAGACAGCTCTATGTACATATGTACACACATGAGCTTTTTTATTTCTATAAAGAAATGACATCCTACGCTGCTGCTTTTCACTTAATGATCTCATCTCACAATCATTTTTATTTTTATTTTTTTAGTATGTGTTTATTGATTTTTTTAGAGAAAGAGGAAGAGAGAGAGAGAGATAGAAACATTGATGTGAGAGCAAAACATTGATCGGCTGCCTCCTGCAGGCCCCCCACTGGGAATCTAACCTACAACCCAGGCACGTGCCCTGACCGGGAGTCTAACTGCGACCTCTCAGTCCATGGGACGATGCCCAATCCACTGAGCCACACTGGCCAGGCATGAAATCTTTTTTTTTTTTTTTTTATCCTCACCCAAGGACATTTTTCAATATTTTGTTTAGATAGAGTGGGAGGGAGAGAGAGGAAGAGAGAGAGAGAAACATCAATGTGAAAGGGACACATCAAGTGGACGCCACCCGCACGACCTGACCAGGGCCGGGGACAAACTGCAGCCGAAGTACATGCCCTTAGCGGGAACCAAACCCGGGTCTCTGTGGACCGCAGGCCAACGCTCTAACCACTGAGCAAAACCGGCCAGGGCGGCATGATCTTTTTTTTATCCTCACCCGAGGATATTTTTCCATTTTTTGTACAGATAGAGTGGGAGGGAGAGAGAGGAAGGGAGAGAGAGAGAGAAACATCGACGTGAAGAGACACAGTGAGTGGCTGCCACCCGCACGACCAACCAGGGCCGGGGACAAACTGCAACCGAAGTACGTGCCCTTAGCGGGAACCGAACCCGGGTCTCTCCGGACCGCAGGCCGACGCTCTAACCGCTGAGCCAAACTGGCCAGGGCAGCATGATCATTTTTTAATGGCTCTACTACCCCATGGTTAGGACGTACCATGATGTATTGGACTGTAGGACCCTTACTCATGGACACTGAGGTTGCTTCTGGTTGTTTTGCTATAAACGGAAGAGCCTTGCATATACCTCCACATACTATTGTGTACGCATGCCATTATTTTCTTAGGATAGATTCCAGGTGGTGGAATTTGCTGGGGCAGAGGGCATATGCATTGTACATTTGGGCAGATATTGCCAATTTGCCCTTCGGACAGGTCAAACTAACCTCCAGGCTTCCCAGCAGCAGTCCAAGTGCCCGTAAGCTGTGGTTCAGACATATCCAACCCAACTGTGTCATTGACTTCCTAGGATCCGAGCTCTGTGGCTCTGAGCCAGAGACAATTCTGCGGGGTCAGATGCTTTCTGGGACTGCTGGTTTTGGGCTTGGTGGCTGACACTGCCAGATCACTAAAGGGGCATGAGGGTTATACTTAGCCCTGCCCTGGAGCCTGTTGAGAGCCACAGGGTGCAAATAGGAGACACTGAGAATTTTAGTATGGGTTAAATGTCACCTCCTCAAAGAGGCTTTTCATGAGGTTCCCCTGCCCCACTGTCTCTTTCTTAGCCCCCTGTTTGTTTTCTTCATTGAACTTACCCAATCTATAACTTTGTATTAATTATTCTGCTCTCTCTGCCTCTCCCACTGGCCTCTGAGCTTCATAAAGGCAGAGATCTGCCTGTCTTACCCACTGCTGGGTCCCCAGCTACCAGTGCTTTGGCACAGAGCATTGTTTAGCAAATATTTGTTGAATGAATGAATGAACCAAAGATAGCCAGGGGGAACATCATGTGCTTAATGGCCAAATGTGCAGAGAGGAAGCACTGGAAGAATCTGGAGGGAACAGATACCTTTCTTGTTGTGAGTGGTCAAAGGAAGCCACAGGGAATAAGGAGTAGAAACTGGAACTTTCAGACTCGGAGAATGAGAGGGGAAGGAGAGATGGTCTAGGTCTGGGCAGGAGGGGAGCCAAGTCTGCCACTGGCTAAGGTCAGTGGCTGGCTGCTCGGTTCACAGCCCTTTTCCAGCTTTTGCCAGAACCTGGTGTCTGGCCAGAGAAACCCCCGCATGTCCTCCATAGCCCAAGCCAGCCTCTGCTTCAATCTGACCTATAGTCAGTGCTTCCATTGAAATGTATGGCATTCAGGCCCTGGCCGGTTTGGCTCAGCGGTTGGAGCGTCGACCCATGGATCAGAGAGACCGATGTTCAGTTCCCCTTAAGGGCACGTGCCTCGGTTGCAGTTTGTCCCCGGCCCCAGGTTGGGTCATTTGGGTGGCAACCACTTGATGCGTCTCTCTCACATCAATGTTTCTCTCTCTCTCTCCCTCCCACTTTATCTGAAGATAAATGCAAAAATGTCCTTGGGTGAGGATAAAAAAAAAGAGAGAAATGTATGGCATTTGGGGATGTGTCCTCAGTCCTACAACAAGCTCTTCTAGCTGAGACCGTGCCTTAGTCACCTGGTCCTCATTCTCCTCTCCCTGGACAGACAGATCAGAGCTATCCTGGGAACCAGATGAGTA